CCTTCCTTCCTTCCTTCCTTCCTTCCTTCCTTCCTTCCTTCCTTCCTGTCTTCCTTCCTTCCCTCTTTTTTTTATTTTGAGAATTTCATACATGTATATAATGTGTTCTGATTAAATCCACTGCCATTCCCCCCCCCCCAGTTTCTCCCTTATTTCTCTCTGCAGCTTTTCCCTTTAGACTTCTTGTGTTCAGTCTCTTCTTAAAAACCTATTGAATCTACTTAGTATTGCCTAAAATGTTTTTTTAAATAAAATTATAAAATATACAATTACAGTTTTCTTATGCCATAGTTTTTACAAATATTTATTGGTCACTGAACATACCTATGCACACTTATATAAAGACATTTCTTTGACATGTGGGTCCTGCTTTGAGGGATTAGCATGCCTAACGGGAAGACAAACTCGATGACAGCTTGACCATGGGATGATCAATACAGATTACTAAGTCAGAACCTTACTTGCCCTGGGTTTTCTCTGTAATCAATGTTTATAACCTAAGCTAATGAATAGCTGTAATCTTAAATTATGCCTCTGACCCAGTAGTAATGCATGTGTGTTTGTACTGTATTATGAAACACATTTGCTGAAAACAGCAAATAGAGCTCAAAAGCAATCTTATAAATAAATGTCTCCCATAAATGTTGAAGGGGCGTTTGGATATTGCTTGGTAGTATTTGTTTGCTATCTGGCTCCACTGAGGTCAGTTGGAGTCAGTGACCCAATCCCTTGTAAGGCTGTGTTAAAGATTCTTAAAGTACTCCATTCCTTCCCTCATGGGATGCTTTCTGTGCTGTTCGTAAAGACAAAGCCAAGTCCTTTATTAGAAACAGACACAGACACATTGGCAGACTCATAAGACTCTTTCCAGATTCAGGCTCATGTAACAGACAAACCATGACAGAAGAGACAGTAGAGTGCAATGCAGAACTCAAATCTGCGCTCACTGGACTGCAGTGATACTTCAGGGGTTAGGATCACAACCAAACTGTCAAATCTGGCCTTGCTCTTGGTTAAACAATAGCAAGGGGAATTGCTTAGATTTCTTTCCTCTGTATGACACTAGCCTAGGATTATTATTGACACTGAATTTGTTATTCATGTGTCCAAATTGATGCACTTAGAGACAATAGCAAAACAAGTATATTATATATATGTAGCATGTGGTGTATGTGTGTGTGCACAAATGCATGTGTGCATGGTGCAAGTGTCATGGCATGCCTGTGCCACAGAGTGCACGTGAAGGTCTCAGGAGTTGTTCCTCTCCTGACTCTTTGTGGGAAGGGTGCTATGGGTCAAACTCAGGTTGGCACACTTGTGCCAAGAATTGGGTATTGCTTTATTGTCTTCTTTATTTTTATTAGATTATTCCCATTGACCATTTTCGTTTTGCTATGTTTAAAAGTAAAATGTATTAAAATACACATAAAGTTAGTCTCCCTACACACTTGAAGTATATGGATCAGTATTAATATTTCCACATTATCGTACAGACAATCTCTAGAATGCTTTCATGCTTTGAAATGGAAATGCTGTCCACATTGAACAACTCCACAGATACCACATAGCTTCTCAGATTCTCTCTCAAGTTTTAATATTCTTCTTTTCTTCCTATTGGACATGGATAGTACAATTTGTTTGCCTTGTCCCTTGGTTTGGTAACTTGCACCAACATTATCTTATTCTAACTGAAATTCTGTACTTCTGATTTTATTAGTGGACATTTAAACTATAGAATTGGTCTCTGATTAGTATCCTGACACAATTCATGTTTAATTTGACAGGAGCTAGTCACTTTTTCACTTCGGGACTACAAAAAACATAGACTATCCAAAAGTCATGCACAGTAGTTTTCCTGCCAGAGACAGAAACAGAAACAAACCACTCCATGATTAAAAGTAACAAAAACTGCTGCAATCTATCACCTTGAAAAGGGCCTAAAGACTCACTTTTTTTTTTTTTACTCTTAGTTGCTTGTGTTTGGAGGTACATGTATGTCACATGGTGTGTAGAGGGCAGAGTATAGCTTTGCAGAGTTGGGAGTCAGTTCTTTCTACCATATGGGATATGGGGAATCAGCAAGCTTGGCAGCAAGTTTCTCGATTCACTGAGCCATATCAAGTGGGTCCTCATACATTCCTCTAACTGACCACTAAGTCCTGATTGGAATAGGAAACAGAAGGAACTGTGTTTAGAAATTGTCTTAATATGACTATGAGACTTGATGTGAAAGCAAGTCCTGTTTCCAAAGTCCTTGTAGAGGGCTCTCCTTCATCTAAAGATAAGAAAATGATATTGGAGTCTAGAAACTATGATTATACTTTTAAAACAATTTACTCCCTGAACTTCCCCTTGAGTTGTGTTTTCTGTCTGTGTTGTCAGATACTGCGGACATTCCATGTTTGCCACTGTCCTCATCCTTACTGATCTGGTGACAATTCATTAGTCACGACAGTTGTATCCCAACTGATTATCTATGACAGCTGCTCTATTATCTCAGTTTATAGAACAGAAAGCCAAACCCTGCGTTCCTAAGTGAGAAACACATTCCCAATTCATCAGTCTTATATAGTCTCACTAAAAGTGACTTCTGTATAGGACAGCAGGTCTCAACCTGTTGGTCATGACCCCTTTGGGGATCACATATCAGATATTGACATTATAATTCATAACAGTAACAAAATTACAGTTGTGAAATAGCAATGAGATACTTTTATGGTTGGAGGTCACTATAACAAGAAGAACTGTATTAAAGGGTCTCAACATTAGGACTGTTGAGAACCAGTGCGCTAGGAAAACATGCTAACTGCCCTTGGTATTTTTCTTGCTCCAGTCTTAGAAATGTGTATAGAGGCCTTAACTTCCTGCTGTTCCTGGAGTTTACATGGGCAGAGTTGAGAAACTGGATCACATTTGTTTATTTTTATTTCCTGCATCTTTAAACTTCTAGATTCTTGGTTCTATGAGATGGTTCAGTCTATAAAATGCTTGCTATGCCAGCATGAGGATCTGACTTTAGATCCAGAGCACTCACATTCAGAAAGCCAGGCATAGCAGTGTGCTTCTGTAATCCAAACACGAAATGAACGGGAGGATCATGGGTGAGGCTTGCTGGCGGGCAAGTCTGGTCGAATTACTGAGCTCTGAATTATTGGAGACAAGTCTCAAACAATAAGGTGGGTGGTGAGTGAGGAAGATACTCAACTTGACTTTTGGCCTCCACATACACATGAGCAAATCTGTACACTTAACATGCACATGGACATGGACATGCAACATAGACACATTCTGGACTCTGATGGAAGCTGCATAAATCATTCTCTAGGCTAGAATCTAATATTAATCTATACTTTTCAACTTCATTATCTTCATTTAGCTAAGTGATTTCTGTCTACTGATAGTGTGAATAATGCCTACTGCCAAGTAGTATCCTTTGCTTCTCTCAGGCTTTGTGCTGTTAGTGAGCAGAGACAGACCAGAAGCTCTGGCTTGTTTCTCTGGACTTTCTTTATTCCTAGACAGTAGCATCACAACTCTTTTCTGCTGTCCACAGGATAGCTGCTGTGGACCCTGGCTTGCGATCCTGACACTATGATGTGATAGTTTCTGCAGCTGACTCAAAAGATGGTCCCGAGTTTGTAACTCCGAACCCTGTGATTCTGTGAAAATCTAGGAACATTATATTTCAAACTTCTATCTAACTAGTTTGAAAACTTTTTTTGAATGTTCTCAAGGAATGGATTATATTGGGGAAAATAATTTCCATTGCATTCTCTGTATACCTTGCATAAATATGCTTTAGAATGGGATACATAAACATTTACAATCTTAAGGCTGCCTGATGTGGAAGGCTTCTGATGTCCTCGATTTCTATGAATTTCCTCTGTGAACTCAGCATCCCGTTAGGGCTTGGGCATTCCTCCTAACAGTGGGGCCAGAGTTCCTCTGTGGTCTATGACAGGGAATGTTTCCCTGGAGGGCCAGAACCCAATGTCAATAGGGAAGATAAATAGGCCTGGCTTTTGCATAGAGCCAGCTGGGGCAGGGGGCTATATTTTTTGAGCCTGAAATGGGAACTCTATAGTCTGATAAAAACAAAGCCATCAACACACAAAGCCAAATCAGAAGGATTCTCGACTTTCCTACCACACCTAGCCATTCATCACTGACCAGATCAGTCTTGATCAATATTTTCGTCTCTATTTTTCTCATTTTCTTTATATTATAGACAGTATCAAAATGAGAGGACTGTTTAGGATTGACAGTTACAAATGGTGCTTTTGAGTAATTTTTCCATTTGCTCTCACCTTAATTGGGGAATGAATCAGGTGACAGAGAAGAAATATGATAGAGAGGTGGGACTCTGGAAATCAGCTTGCTGTTACCTACCACTTTGATGGCATCATTTGTCTACGGACCTCTTGGCTACATAATATCGGTTCACATCATTTCTTTTGCATAGACACAATATTCTCTTAAATGTAATCAATGTGAACTTGTTCCCTCTCACCGGACATCCCCTGCCACCTGTGAAGCTTTGTGCAGAGAATTTTGGATCCCAGACCCTTGGTACCAGAAGGAGGCTACCCCAACCCTCCACGTGTTGGTCTCCTCCCTTCACCTGAGCCTGCAGCACAGTCTCCTGTTCCTTCAGCACTTTGGCCTGAAGTTTCCACTCTGCCGCCTGATTCAGCAACTGTGAGAGAACAGAATGCATAGAAAGAAAATCTAGTTGTATATAAATTGTCCTTTTTTACCATATATACGTAAACCAACTTTCTTCTTATGCCCCTCTCCATTAAGTATTTTTTTGAAGGGAGAGACTTTGGCAAAATATTAGTTGACAAAGTTAAAGAAAACAATGAAAATGTTTGATTGCCAAGGAAACTAGTGACTTTAATTTAAAAAAAAATGTAAGTATCAAAATCAAGTATGAATCACACAAAATCTAACCTCTTGCCAGTCCCATTGGTCAGAAGCTTCCCAAACAATCCTCTCTACCATCACTGTCATCAACCTTAGGTTGAACATCTCCAGACTTCCCCACCTGGGCATGGTTGCCTGCTTACTATATTAGCACTGGTCCCTTATATTAGCACGTAGTTATTCTCCACCACAGAACACATGATGATTTAAGAAATACATATTCCTTCTTTATCCCTGGTTTTCAACACAGCACTTCAAACATGCGTCTGACTCTCCTCAGGGGATCACTAAAGGGTAGATCACCCTTTGGAGAATATAGTCTAGGGTATATAGAGTGTGCGTTGAAATCTATGCTTTTCTAATACTTGAGAGGGTTGGCTCACAGTGACAGCACATTTGAGCAATGGAGATATTTGATGGGTTGCTCTGAACTCTGCCCTCTGGCACTAAGAGTCCTCACTCCACTGCCACAAAGAATTCTTCCATATAAGCCACTGCAGTTAAGCCACATGGTTGAGCTGGGAGCTGGTGGGTGAGCATGCTGTTTTAACTTAAGATGTACAAATACCTATTAATCAATATTGATGCATAGCTATAGTCTTTGGTTTAGGTTTGTACCTTTTGGTCAGAGCTCAGAAGGGTTATTTTGAGGGTGTGGTGGGGGTCTGCTGGTCCCTGCTTTTGGAGCCAACAGGGCCAGCATGTTGAATGTCTTTTATTATTCTGATTGTATGGAGAAACCTCTAGTTTGGACTTGATGTGTGCAGGCATCAGGAGGGATAGGTTTTAAAAATCAGCCATTAGGATTTGTTGTCCAATTTCACTTCTTTTTTCTGTCATATTTGAAAAGTGGGGTTATTTTGCAGTTTTCTATGGTAACAAATTAAGTGATTATAGTGTAGTTTCAGCTAAACAAAAAACTTCTGGTCAAATGTCAATGAGTCACTTGAGTGAATGGCTTAACAGCTGTCTGTCTAACAGATCTCTCAATCCCTGTATGTATGTATGTATGTATGTATGTATGTATGTATGTATACACACACACACACACACACACACACACACATACACACACACACACACACACATCTCCTTTCCCCATCTCTCTCTCCCTCTAGCAACACTGCTGACACGTACGTCTGAATTCATGCAGTGTCACAGAAAGCTTAGGCTTAGGGAAAGATGCATGTGGATTAGAAACACATTGCCATCTCTTAGCAGGGTAAAACCTTAACCAAGTGTTCTCTTTGTGCCTCGGTTCTGTCATCTGTGCAATGGCTCTGTAGCTTTTGGGGACTACTTGGAGTAAAGAAGTAAAAAATACTACCACCCAGTTTCTGCAGTCACTCAGCAGTCAGCCTTGATCACGCCTCCTCGCTGTCATCCTCTTAGAACTGACGGATGCCAGTATCTTGAAGGAATGCTCCCCTGTCTCCATCTCTTCTTCTTAGCTGCCATCTCCCTAATCCAAGTCATCAGCACATCTCATGTGCATTGTTCTGGGACACACACACACACACACACACACACACACACACACCTGTCATCCTTTTTTTCTATTCCATTTTCCATCCAGGAGGCACATTAATCTTTTACATATGGGAAGCCAATCGCGTTATCTCCTTTTCTAAAACTGCTTGGTTATTCCACATTGTATTTAGAATAAAAGTCAACTCTCTCTCCAAGTCCTACAAAGCTGCACAGTTGGAGCCTGCTTACCCCCACATCTTGAACATTTCTCCACTTGCTTCACCTGCTGAGGATTTGTCTGTTGCTGTGTATTGTGATGCTAAATACAATACTGGCCCTGGTTGCCTCAGGGATAAGAAATCTTCACACACACACACACACACACACACACACACACACACATACAGCAAATAATACTATGTGACCTTACTCCATTAATTTAACTATTAGTTAAATAAAGATGCCTACAGCCTATAGCTGGGCAGAAGAGAGGTAGGTGAGATTTGGTTCCCAGGCTTGGAGTCTGAGGAGGATGAGGAGGAGAGAAGAAGATGGAGAGAGGAGAAGACACCATGGGTTAGGTGAATCACGAAAACATGGCCATGAGGGCTGGCTAATTGAAGCTAAGAGTGAACATGGCAGGACATGGCAAGTCAGACCTCGGGGCTGTTGGTAGAGAAGTAGATGTTAATGCCTCAGAGGGCAGATATCTGTCCAGCTCTAGTGCTTTAAAGGCTTATCATGAATATAAAGGTTTTGTGTCTTTTATCTGGGAACTAAATGGGTAGAAATCCCAGATTAAATATTTTCACCTCTAGCTTTTCTTCCCTCCCTGACCTTCCCCTGGGCATGGAGCAGGCCATGCTGGATCTAACATCAAGCCTTTCACTGACAGACACCCCTGCTGGAGAAGACTCCCATGAGGCAGTTCCTTAAGAGGCAGAACATTGCTGGCACATCCTCTCCACCTGTCCTCATCACTCAGTCTCTGTAAGTCCCCTCCTCCAGCCCCATCTCAGTTCCTCCTTGTTTGCCTGATAACTTACTATTATCTAAATAACCTTCCCGGTTCACTCGCTCCTGAGCATCTTTCCTACACAGTCTCTAATCTGCCTGGTAGGAGGTGGCCCTTCTCTGTCTTATTCACAGCTATAATCTAGCACCTAAAATGCTCTCAGCAGATAATAGGCACTTCAAAAACACTTGTTGCGTATGTTGAATGACTATTTTGTGTGAATAATGGCACAGGCCCAGTGTTTCCTACTGGGCTAGCCCATTTACTTCCCCATAGATGTGTGGGCTTTTATATGAGTGAAGTGATCTTCTGCCACTGTCAGACAGCTTTCCTAGAGAGCCTCTGAAGAAGAGGTACATTACATATGCACACCAACTAAAAGAATAAATACATATTCCTTTTCCCGTCTGTGCCGCTCCTCTGCTTCCTGCATCATTTCTTGAGCCTCTTCAAGTTTTGCATCCACCAGCTTCTGCTGCAGTTCTCGGTGTTTGAATATTTTGTCCAGATGCTAAGGAAGAAGAACGCATAAAAGCTGGGCCTGTGATCAGTGCATAGAAATGTAAAAATAGGAAACAATTCTCATGAATAAAAATTTCCTAGTTTTTAAATTTCTAAGGAATAGACAACCTGGCCTCACTAAAGGCCATAAGTTGGTGAGGGTCTCCAACTCACCACTATCCAGAGATAGCTTCAAATGGTGGAGATGTCAAAGGTCAGCAGCACTAATGCTTAAAGGTTACCAACATGACTTTTCTCAATTTGGAAGGCAGTTGATATGATGCCATTCATTATGCTAAACCTTCCAGACAATGCTCCATTGTACTCTGGCTTGGTATTATGGCCTTTTTCATGATTGTAGGACTACCTTTAACAATAACACAAATAAAATTTATCATAGTGAATTTTCATCAAAGAGTATCAGTATATGATCCCTAGATGTGTGGGACAGAGATACAGACTCCTGAATGCTTACTCTGCTGCTCTAATGCTGCCCAAATGTTAAATGCTTGGTATCTAGCTTGACACTATTGGGATGTGGTAGAAAATTCAAGAGGTGGGGTTTTCTAGGAGACCTTCTGGTCTTTGGCAGTTATTGCCCACTCCTACCTTCCCAGTTACCATGAAGTGAGCATCTCAGCTTAGCCACACCTTTCTCACCATGTCTATGTGCTACTTTGACATAGGCCCCAAAATGATGGGGTTACTTGCTTATGGACTGAAACCTTTCCACCTGTAAGCCATAGCAAGCTTTTCTTTCAATAAGCTGAGTCTTGTAAGTAGTTCTTATAGAAGAAGAAAGCTGACTAACCTATAGAGATAACTTGACCTGCCCTCAGCTGTGAACTGACAGTCATTCACTCTCCTCCACATCCTGACCTCTGGACCACCTCTGTTTGAAGGGTGGCTAACTGGCTAAGAGGCCCCATTGGAAAGGAGACACACAGAATGTTGTATTGGTATTTAAACAGAACCAGCACTGGGAACATGAAACTAATATTCCAGGTCATTCCTAGCTGAGATCTTTTGAGGAGAGCAAACATTTTCCCATCGGCTCTTCCTTTCTTCTTCACTCTTACTTCTATCCTGGATGGAGTCAAGCCTTCTCACAAGAGAAGATGGTAGTTAGGCATTATGGTTCACTATGAAGTTTCCTGATTTCCCTAAATCCTATGACCATATGCTACCTACTCAAATATTGTTTTCTTGATAAAATCTTGCCACATTACCAATCCAGTCACTTGTTATATCATTAATATAAAGTACTGAAAATGAAAATCTTAGTGACGATGAGTGATATTCTCTCTATGCCACTGCTTTCATACATAAAACACAGCAAAGACAGTGAGTGCTATGGCTAATATTAATAATTTGGTGAGATCCAGAGTCACTGGGGAAAAAGGCTTCTGGGCATGCCTCTGAGGGACTGTTTGCATTAGATTAACTTCTGGGCTTGCCTGTGAGAGGTCATCTAGTTTGATCAGGTTAACTGAGGTGGGAGGCCCACCTTAATTGTGAGCAATGCCATTTCATGGTCTGGGGTCCTGGACTGAATAAAGATGAGAAAGTAGGCTGAGTATAAGAATCCTGTATTCTGTTTTCTGTCTGTGGACCAGTGTAACCAACTGTCTACCTGCTCCTGCTCCCACCTCTTCCCCTCCTCCTGCCGTACTTTCCATGCCATGGTGGAACGGTTCTCCAAAACTGCTAGTCAGAATTTATCTTTCCTCCCCTATGTTGCTTCTTAGTAGATATTTGGTCACAGCAACACACAACACTGCTTACATAGATAGTGTTCTGTGCTTGATAGTAAAGTTGAGACAAGTGACATATTGTATGCAAAGTATATGACCTAATACATTGCTTGACACAAGTTAGGCACTAAATAAATAATATTATAGTTATTACATTATTAATGTCACTATCAGCTTGTTAATTGAGATAACACAGTGGGTCCAATGAAGAGAACAGAGTTCTCTCTTGTCTACATGGGAAGGATTTTTAAAGGACCCAAGGACTGTGCAGGATGATTGTGCCCGCAGGCCAACACTTCTGTTTCCTGCTAAGCCAGGTGTTTTATAGGACTGTCTGTTTTTATTTTGGTCAGTAAAAGAAATCCAATCGTAACAATTAATGGTTGAGAGGGTTGAGGTGAATTTCTTCTTAACCAAACCCCTCCCTCTCACAAGGCAGTTCTGGGCCTGCAGAGAGTTCTGCTAGCTGTTTGATGTGGTTTTTACCTCCTCCCTGAGCTCGTACTGGTCAATGATGCTTTTCAGTTTTTCTGCAAGCTCTGTGTTCTCCTGGCAGAGCTTCATATTGCGCTCACTCTGCTGTTCTATCTGAGTCTGGATATCTGTCAGGGTAGTCTGAAAGTGACTTGTGATCTCTTTCCTCTTCTCTTCTTCCTCTCGTGCCCGTTGGAGGGTTTCCTCCTGTGAATAAACAGCAAGACATTTTGTGCTAGTTAGAGGTGCCCATGGTTTAGAGAGCTCAGGATAAGGTCATCCAAATAAGCAATGCACAGAATAAGCAGAGTGTTTCTTTTCTGTTCTCTACAGCTAAAGTTGCCTGATCTCCAAATTAAAGTCTGAGCTGCTGAATGCGGTCACTCAGGGTGGCTGCTGGGCTTGGTGATGAGCAGACTTCCTTTAAAACAATGAATTCCAGAAATTCTTAGGTAAATGGATGGAACTAGAAAATATCATCATGAGTGAGGTAACCCAATCGCAAAAGAACACACATAGTTTCACTCACTGATAATTTGATATTAGCCCAGAAGCTTGAAATACCCAAGAGTCAATTCACAGACCAAGTGTGGGTGCTTTGGCCCTTCTTAGAAGGAGTAACAAAATACTCAAGGGAGAAAATATGGAGACAAAGTGTGGGACAGAAACTCAAGGAGCGGCCGTCTGGAGACCATTCCACCTGGGTATCCATTCCATGTGCAGTCACCAAAGGTAAACGCTGATGTGGATGTCAGAAAGTGCATGCTGACAGGAGCCTGATATAGCTGTGTCCTTAGAGGTCTGCAAGAGTCTGACATATTCAGAGGCAGATGCTCACAGCTAACCATTGAACTGATCAAGGGGTTCCCAATGGAGGAGTTAGAGAGAAGACTGAAGGAGCTGAAAGGGTTTGCGGCCCCATGAGGAGAGCAACAATATCAACCAACCAGAGCTCCCAGAGTCTAGACCACCAGCCTGAGAGCACATAGGGAGGGACCCAGGGCTCCAGCTATATATAAATGTAGGGGAGGATGGCCTTGTTGAGCATAGGTGGGAGAGGAGATCCTTGGTCCAATGAAGGCTGGACACCAAGTATGGGGGAATTTGAGTGTGGGGAGGTGGAAGTGGGGGGGGGGAACATGGGGGCACAACCTCCTACCCCCACCCCCCGGCCCCCGGGCTAGGGGCCCCCGGGGCGCGGCCGGCGCAATGAGGTAAGGGGATAGAATCTGAAATGTAAATAAAATATTCAATTAAAAAAAAAAACCTGAACAGTCTCCTGCTGAGTAAATGACCTGCAGAGACTTCTGGGAGTCACATTGAGACTTGGATCTCTTAGCTGTGGCCCAGAAAAAAAAAGGCCACTGAGATTTACTGACAGATGGGAAGCAGATCATGTGTGTTTCTCTGTTTAGGGGTGCAGTGGGGGAAGGGTGGTGGTGGTGAGACAAATAGATGTAATGTTATTCTATAAAACTATGGAATATTAACCCCACAGTTGTATCATCCAGATTTTATAAGTGAGATCATAATATAAACTTTTTTCTTTTAGGTTTTATCTTTAAAATTGTGTGGGTATCCAGAGAAGCCAGAAGAAAGCATCAGATCCCTTGACACTGTAGTTACAGGTGATTGTGAGCTGGGAACTTAACTTAGACCCTCTGCAAGAGCAGCAAGTAGTCTCAGTAATAAAGATATATTATCAGGAAGCTTTTTATATAAGCTATTCAAAAATAGAAAAAGAAATCTTTCCAAATATACTGGATATTTCATTCCTGGACAGAACATTCATTTTGTGTGTCATTTTGTGTTATAAATAAAATACTTGCAACATAAATCTTGAGTTAGAAGGTAATAAGGTTGAAATCTCCTTAAGTCTAAAATGAAACATTGAGACGTTTCCCAGCATCATCGCCCTTACCGTTTCTTACCATCGAGGAACTGAAAGTTTTATATTATTCCTGTTCTTTCTCTGACATCAAAACTCCACATTTGTCACTAACCACTAATACTGTGCCCACATTTCTCTATTTACACCAGGAATTATCTGTGTTATAATTGCTCCTTTCACTCTTTCAGAATAAAGGGTTTGCGCTCGCTATATTATGCCAAAGATAGACACATTTATATGGCTGACAGATGATACACACTTTTGGATTCCTTTCAGTTCTGGTTAATTGTTAATGGGAACATGCTCTTCATTGTGGGCAAGTGAAATTACACTGCCTACCAACTTCAAATTATGAAACGTAGAAAGAGAGAATTATCATCACAGAAGTAATTGTGCAAGTCTTTATTAGAATGGAATAATGTGATCAAAACAAGAACTGATTTGGAAAATATATGCTCTAGAAATATTTTAATCTACCTTTCATCTCCATCTTTCTTATACAATGTTAACACATTGTCTAACTTGTTGGCCATCAGAATTCTAATTTCATCACACTGTAACTTCCTAGAGAGATTATAAGAGATATTGCCTAATCTAAGGATTATTTGAGGTAACATTTATTTCTGTATACCAATACCTATTATATATATATCACTAAAAATGGTTGCAACTATCAGCTTAAGAGTAACCAGACATATCTGTGATAGTGATTGTCACCTCATTGCTCCTGATATACTTAGAAGTCCCTAAATTATGAATCATATGACTATAGTCTATGATCGTAATTCTATTTTTATTTATAAATATTCCATGTATGAGTGAAAAAGCTATGCCATGCTTCTGAGAAAGTCTGATATTTTCCAGATCTGAGCATACATTATTAAACATATGTCAAGTCACTCAGTTCTGGCTTGTTAAATGGCAGCTTGAGTCTTGTGTTACATTGCCTCCCCCTTTAATAGGAGGAAGCCCAAACTATCTTTGAACTTGTGATCCTCCTGCCTCATCCTCCCAAATACCAACATTCTATGTTGTTTTTCAACTACACAAAAATAAGTCTTACCAAATGTTATTCAATTGAGTTCATTGATTAAAGAATGTGCCATCTCTTGGACAATGTCTGAGACAATTTTTAAAATTAATCAAGTGTATTATGCAAAATGAAAATTACTAATGCAAATAAGACCCCAGAGACCAAGGCTGAAAACAAGTTTTTAGACATCACCATATACCTAGAACTGATGCCACACCTGGCACATAATCCATAGGTGCTCAGTAATGCTTGTTTAATGGTTAATTCATTATTCACTTGTGTGAAGACACATGAGTAGCTTTGGCTAGATGATTGCTATAGTCCTTTCCACATTAAGCACCCGTGACATTCTAATAACAAATACTACTTATTTCTTTACCAAAATCATGTTTCTTAAGCCACTACTCACATTGTACTAGAAAGTTCTTTTTTTGATATAGTTTCAGGCTCAAATTTACTCCTACAAGTATCTGTAGGAGTTGCTGAGACAAGTATATTCCTCAAACCTTCACTGGCCTTTATCTAAATTATTAAGGGTGTGCCTTTGTGTTTAACACACTGAAGAAAAAATTTATAAGGAATTAAAATATATGGTGGTGGAAGAAACTGACTATGCTCTCTTAGCATGTCCATAGTTTTGGGGACTCAAGTCCATGGTTACTTGATTTTTATTTCTAGGCCATGATGAAGAAGAACATAATTGTCAGGAGACCATAATAGAGAGCCATTCATCTTAAGGTGGCAAGGGAGCAAAAAGACCCAGAAAGAGGCTCCACAGATAAGATAGAAGCTCCACACTGGGAGCTTCTTTCCTCCAAATAAACTCCACTTCTCAACAACGGATTCAGCTATGAAGCCATCAGGAGATTAATCCATTGATGAAATTAGCACCATCATGGTAGAATCATTGCTCAAAAACCAATCATCTGAGGGATATAACCTTCAACACACAAGCTTTTGGAGTCTACACTACAAATCTAAACCATAGCTATATCCTTTCTAAAAATATTGACTATTTTTTAGATTCAGTTAGTGTGAATTCAAATTTTGAATTCAAAAATTCAAACTTTCATTCAATTTCTTTCTCCTTAGCTGGACTGGGAATGTAGATCAGTGTCACTCAGAGATTGGAGCAGTTTCTCTACAGTTAAAAATTTTCTCCGTCTCTGATGCTTCTCTTGAAATGTTTCTCTCATCTTTTGGTGGTTATATAGTTTCCCAAATTTCCACACTCTTGCTTTTCTCTGAAAGATGAAAGATTTTCCTAGAGAAATTTAAGACATCTCATGCTGTTTCCAAGTCTTCCTACAAGCTGAAATCTGTTTAAAAGAGGAAAAGGTGAGAAACTTATGTTACATCACTCCAAGCGCCAAGACTCCCAGAGTCTACAGATGTAATATGTAGAAGACAAAACTTGGTGTACCCTCCTTTGTCCACACTAAATATTTTTTTAGGCTGAATAATTAAGTCTTGAAGAGTAGTTTTGTGTTTTCTTTTAAGTAGTTCTTTTTTTAAGACAACTATTGATACTTTGACTCTCTACCTCCCTTTATCATGTCAATTAAACTACATGTAGAAATACACGTAGAATTATCATGTAGCTACATGTGTGTCATGTAGAATTCATTATAAATATAAAATGTTGAATTTTTACAAAAATGTTAAGAGAAAACTAAGGTATAGGGAGCCAGCCCAGAAGTTAAGACCATTGGCTGCTCTTCCAGAGGATCTGGGTTCAGTTCCCAGCACCCACATAGCAGAGCACAGCTATCTGTAACACTAGTTCCCATGACTTCTTCTGGCTTCCTTGGGTACCAAGCACACATGAAATGCACAAACATCTGTGCTAGCAAACTACCCAAACACATAAAGTAAAAAATAAAAATAATTAAATAATAAACTAAGGGATATCAAAAACAATCAATTCATCAAAACCAAACCAAACAAACAAAAACTCAACCTAGCAAGAACAACAAAAGGAGCATGACACTTCACTCTGAGTCACTGTGTATGCTCCTTGCATGTGGAAGCTCATTTACTTTTTCCCCTTCTGACCACGTAGTCAGAAGATGGGGAACCATTCATAGAGATAAAATAACTTGAAGATCACAAATGAGCGAGTGGCAGAACTAGTAGTTGACTTCACTGCTGTCTAGTTGTAAGCCGTGCTTTCTCCAGATAGCAGAGATCTGTGTCTATGCAGCTTACTAAAAACGTGTGTTTCCAAGCCGGGGTGTCACATACCTTCAGGGTCTTGTTGTGCCTCTGTAGCTCTCGACACAGACTCTCAAGTTTGCTTCGAGCGAGGATGGCTCTGTTGTGCTCACTCTGCAACTGGTCCTTCTCTCGCTGGGTTTGCGCCTGCTGCTTCAGTAGGAGCTTCAGCTTCTTCTGCTCAGTGCGATGTTCATCCAGCTAGACGTGGGGGTACGAGCGGCAAAGAAATTGGCAGGGATGTCTTTGCAGCTCCCAGAAAAGAAGCAAGCCTAAGGACGTTCTGTGTGGTTGTTCAGAGCTATTTTTAATCATATGCCTCTCTGGCAGCTCATGAACTTGATAAGTGCCACCACTGTATAATGTGTATAGTTTGTAGAGCATAATACATATGATTTTTATATAACTACTACTTCTATTAGCGTCCTCTTTCTTGATTATTTATGGTTGTCTAGAAATGCTTTTCTTTCTTTATCTTCTTTTCCTTTTCTTTCTTCTCTCTCTCTCTCTGTCTCTCTCTCTGTCTTTCTTCCTTCCTTCCTTCCTTCCTTCCTTCCTTTCTTTCTTTCTTTCTTTCTTTCTTTCTTTCTTTCTTTCTTTCTTTCTTTCTTTCTTTTTTTGTCTAATGATATTATCTAGTGCTATCCAAAAAAAGATAGACACACCTGAGAATCTGGAAACGGCTGGAATTCATGGCAATATCTTGTTTGTATTCAGACCACAGCCAACAATTTGTTTGCTTGGTATACATTTTGTTCTCATAATTCTTTCCGAAGATAAGCTAACGGTGACATTTTTTTAAAAATAGGCAAAAGAAAAATAGCTTTCTGGTAAATATAAAATGAAGTTCTCTTTTTTATAATTTTGGCGGTTTAAATGTGGATTCTTTGGGTATGAAAAAGCAAGAGAAAGTATACCCCCAAACACTTGATGGTTTTTTTTTTTAACCAAAGCATTAAAAACAGCTACTGTATAAACACACTGGCATGAAAGACAACTGCTTTTAACATTCCCTGCTGCCTGTAAACTCTGTCCCCAACTACTCTGTGCCTACAGCAAAAACATAATGACCCTTGTTTCTGGTAATCCAGATGCATGAAACCACTTTACCCTAATACTGTCCACATTAGGATGCTAAAATATGTGGGTAGGATTGCCAGATATAATATAGAATGCCTAAATAAACAGAAATTTCAGATATTAAGGAATAATTTTAATACAAGTATATTCCAAATATTGGATGGACCATATTTTTATTAAAAGTTGTCCATTGTCTAAAATGTAAAATTAATTGGACCTAAGGTACTTTTATTTGCTAAACCTGGTAACATTATTGTGAAGTCTTAGTTCTAATGGAGCGAGCATGGGAAACAGCCTCCAGAAGCTTCCAGAGAGAGAGACCAGTAAATTCTAGGAGTACTAGTGTCTATCTGAACACTAGTGTAGCCATATACAAGCTCAGACTTTGGTCTATAACTGTTTACTCCACTGGATTTGGTTTCTTTTGTGCCTGAGTGTTGTTTAAGCCACGAGGAGACTATTCTATTAATAGCCATGTTGGCTAAGAGCAAGAAAACTCCCTGGGGAGCTATTGGGTATCTCTAGATGCTAGGGGTTCCTGGTGCCTCCAAGAGCTTGGTAGAAACAGATATACATTCCACATGCACCTTGACCATATCTAATTATTTCTGTTTTTAAAGTCTGTTGGGTTATATTTTTTCTGAACTATTTGAAGATTGTCATACTTTCTTCAATTCATATTTTGTTTTATTCTTTCTCCTACCGTGTTGAATAACCATTATAAACCTTCTTCAAGTTAAGCCAAGAATATGCACATTTGATATTCTAAGTTTATAGCCATGTGAAATTTCTACTTTTTAGGAATTAAGATTGAAAAAGAGAACTATGTTTCTGGAAATATGGACTGGCATTAATGTCCTTCTTGAAAAGCTTGGGATCCTGACAGTAACATCATCTGATTGTGAGATGCAGAAATATCTCCCGGCAGAGACGCCCACTGCTCCATGGTACAAGACTGCCTCTGTCTAGGAAACACTGCTCTCTGTGACTTTCTCTGTGTGTCAGGAAGCAAATGCACTTTCTGTGCTTCATAAGTTGGAAGATAGATGACTTATGCTTTGCCATATTTAATCTTTGGCTGTGTTATAAGATCATGCACGTTTAAATTTTAGCCAGATCTATTTTCCTTAGCTTTAAAATGAAAGACTCTAAACTTTTGAATTTTTTAGTAGCTGGATGATTTCTTTATTCAGATAGCTCAGACTTCTGTTCTTGTGTTTGAGTGCAGGGGTTTTTGTGTTTCAGTTATGTTCGGATATCCAGGGCTTACTGTAGTAGGATAGCTGTGCTCTGATGATGTTATATTGCCCTGGCTTTTGTCATTTTTGTTCTTTCACAAGCTGTTAGCTATCTAGGCGGCTTTAGTCCCTGGATGTTCCTCTTGTAGTAGGTATTGAGAGGGGGATTAACCTCAATGATCCTGGTATGGTAGGATCTCTGGTGGATATACTTGGGCTGTAAGGTTCCAAACCTGATGAAGATGGGCAGAGAGGTGGTAGGAGAATGGAGATCTGGCAGGGATAGCAACCTGCTCAGGGCAATTGGGTGTGCCTCAGAGGACTCATCGAGCAAGGAGACGGGTGCAGGAAGAGAATCTAACCTGTCTGGTTCTGGGTCAGCGGGTTTGATGAAGGTGGACAGAGAGGTGGTTGGAGAATAGGGGTCTGGGCAGGGGTTTTTAATGAATGAAAGTGAACACATTGCAGTTGAGTCAACCTCAGCCCAGAGCTGGCTGTGCATTTTACGATTCACATAGGTACAGTTCTGGAAATGTGCAATAGGTATAAAGGATTTTATCTGAAATTTCTTATTTTTTCTTCTTCATTAAATTTTAAAAAATGAAAGCACAATTGGTGTCAATGGTTAAATTCGAATTACATTAGTGATTCCTTTTAAGTATATGGAAGTTGTGGAAATTTCTGGAAAGTACTTTTCTAATGTCATTTCTGAATGTAGTCATGAAGTATCCTTACTTATTAATGAACATATTCTTATTTACTGATGAACACAATGCCAGATAATATTGCAGGCTTCAGGCTTTGTAAGCATGAGTGAACTCAAGTGGCAGGTAGATTTATAGTATTGGAGTTGACAGTTTATTCCATATTTCAGACATTTTCTATACTAATATCCTAATCAATGGGCAAGAAAATAGACTTTTATCTCCAAGTAACTAATTAAAATTTTTTTATGATTTTTCTTCCCTGAAATGGAAATCTAATTGGTCTTTGGGTCAGCTTCTGAGATCTTAGTTTGTTATAGAGGATAAGACAAATGCCAAGTGTTGTAAGGCTTGTACAGGCTTGACTGTTTATCTAGCATGGTAAGTAAGCACAGGGACTTTCCTGGGACCAAGGTAAGTAGCCCTGGCTCTTGGAATAATCTCCGTCATACTAGATAGGCAACTCTTCTCCAGGCAATGTAGCACCATAAAGGGCATCAGATAACAGTCAAGAATACTTCCTACTTCCTGCCCAGCACCTGCAAATGGTGCTAGAAAATAAATGATAATGGCCTATGTAGTAGTTGAGTTGATAGACAGACAGTACAAAAAATATTGAAAAAAGAACACAGGTGTACAAGTCAGAGCAATGTGACATACACATTCGAATGTGGTTCAGATTTGGGGAAAAATATCCTTGACCTCCAACTTATGTTATGCTAATTTAAAGTGCTAATAGTCAATGTTAAGCTGCTTTGTAATTTTTCTACCCATATTTTAGCAAGCAACACGGTCATAAAACTAGAAAACAAAGACGCATGAATCCTGTTTGATCTAGTAATCCTATTTCTAAAACTTTTTTCTTAAAATCATAATGAAGAAGGGACAAATCTAATAAATGATGGCGTTCACAACAGCGTTAGCTTCTGAAGCAGGAGGACACTGTCTCTTGAATCAGCACAATGTTGAGGTTGGTCTTGTGCTGCTCTGTATTCAAATGCTAAATTCTGTACTCCTAGATCTGCTTTCTCCAAGACAAGGGAATTCTCACATACAGCAGCTTTTGTTGTGCAGACCTTGTTCCCAACGTTAATTAATAATAAAAAAAAAAAGGCTAATTGGGCAGTATAGAGAGATAGGTGGGACTCCCTGGGAGGGAGAAAGGGACTCTGGGAAGAAGAAAGAAGAAAAGCCTTTTGCCAGGAGACATCAGAGGAGATGGACATAACTATAGGCTTTGAGGATATATCTAGTTATGTGGCTCTATGGGACTAGATGGTTAACTTAGAGGAGCTAGTTGAGAAGTCTACCCAGCTAAGGCCTAAGCTTTGAAATAGTAAAAGGTCTCTGTGTGGTTATTTTGGGAAAGGGTGGTTAAGGAATAACTACCACCATATTAATTTCTAGTGTCAATTAATATATACAAAATATTATCATTTTTATGGCACTTAATGAAATATAACACAAATTTAACAAAATATGCTTATACAGACTGAATTACATGAGAAACTGCCACATGAGCCGAGAAAACAATCAACTCATGTGCCATATGGTAGACATTACTCCATTTCTGGCACAGAGCTGGAAAGGAACATGTATCAAACAGAGTTTGTGTTTCAGATGATGGATTAGAAATATTGTTTTGTATATTTGGATCTTTTGTGTCATTATGATATGGTTTGTGTGATTAAAAATAACTGAAAGCTAAGCCATCAGGCAGACACTCAGGGTTTAAGAATTGTACTGTGTGCATGACATCATGATTCTGCAAAACAGGATGTGTAGAGGCAGAAGAAGGAAAGGACACAGGGATTACAGGACTGCAGTCAGTGAAAAAAAGAACCATCAACAGGTATGGGTTTTGTGAGCCTGATACTTACTCAGTAAGGGAGGCTCTCCCATAGGCTCAGGGCCTCTTGTGGGGCTGGACCTTAGCTGTAAAATGCATCTACCCCTGTAATGGAGGTGGTTCACCTCCTGCCCAGAGGAAGTTCTGTGCATCTCACACTTCATTGGTCTGTTGCTGCTTCTTCAGGAGAAACAAGCCAGTGGCTTTCTTAAAGAGCATACACAGGAAAAATAAGTAAAATGAAGTTCTATATATCTCATTTCTTGGTGTGAAGCGGGGAATGGTACATATACCTCAAATGTTTCTGTTCGGTTGCCTGTTTTTCCACCCACGTATCCCAGTATGTTTTCATGAGGCTTCCTTGATACCAGAGTACTGTGCTCACCAAGCTCTTCCCTTTACTGGCCAATTTGAAAGCAGAGAAGACAGTGATTTTCTGGAATTCTTGGATGGTTTGAAGTGGCTTCCCTTGCTCCCAGGACCCTACATATGGAGAATTAGGCTGTGGGGGGGGGCATGGATCTGGGGAGTAAGCAACCCACACTGATGACTTCATCATTGTAGGGAAGGGAAAGAATAGGGCCCAATGAAGAGGTATTGAAGAAACAGGTCAGGCCAGACGAGAGTGTACCAAGAACTGTGGGGTGGCATTAACTCCACTTTGAATTTCCCCTTGTAGCCCTTGAGAAACACAGATATAGAAGCTGAATGAAAGTTTGATATTCATTCATCTTTATAGAGGAGATGATCCTGCTTTTAAAGCTATCTTTATAAAATGTCCACAAATTTCCATTATCTGTATTCCTTTTTGCATCCCCCGCCCCCAAAATTATCTGCACAATTGAACAGGGAGAGTGTTACCTTCTCTGCTCTTTCTATTATTACATGTCAGCCTTTCTTTCTCCTTAAACATACTTTTCTCTTAGCATTCAGTAAATCTAGTGATGATTTGTTTTGTGGTAAGTAGCTGTGTTCTATAATTATGTTCATGAAAAGTCATGTTCTCTTTTCAGCACTGACTAAAGCTGGGGGCTTTCTGACAGATAGAACTGATAAAAAACCTTACCAGTTCAGCATACTTCTTGAATAAAAAATCAAGCCTTTCTTCAGGTGCTTGCAGCTTGTTCAGATTTTGCATGAGCAAGTTAGCTTCTTTACCTAAAAAATAATAATAAAAATAAAATAAAATAAAATGAGAGTTGGGCAAATGATCAGATGATAGGGACTAGTATACTATATCGATTCCTTGCAAATTAGGAGCAAATCTCAGCCAAACCAAGAACCTTCCTGAGTCTTAGCTAGTGTTCTTTTCCTGTAAGAAAGGATGATCTCTGCCTTTCGAAGTAAGGATTAGCTCATGTGATGCAGAGTTAAACTCCTGGTAGAAATTCAATGAATGCTTGCTAAAACAATAGTCTTCAAATTTTCTTCTTCATCCTCATTACTTCCCTCATGTGTCCTTAATATTTTAAAGGTCACAGCACCAACTTTATGGCATGGTAGATTATCCATATCATAAATGAGAGAGAGAGAGAGAGAGAGAGAGAGAGAGAGAGAGAGAGAGAGAGAGAGAGAGAGAGAGAGAGAAGAGAAAGACAGCTAATCAAAACTACTGAGAAGCAGGAAACAAGTCTCAGTACATGGTGTTGATGGTACTCCAGCCCAAGTCAGAGTCTTGGCAATCTACTGAGCCTGGTTTTCCCATATTATCTTAGTACTGCCCTTTGAACCAATCTTCTCCTCTTTGTTTGGGTGGAAGTAACTCTAATTATATTCCCTACCAGAGAATAAAAGGGGAAAAGATCTAAACCTGGGAGATATTTCGTGTGTGTGTGTTGTGTGTGTGTGCGCGTGTGCGTGTGCGTGTGCGTGTGCGTGTGCGTGTGCGTGTGCGTCTGCGTCTGCGTCTGCGTCTGCGTCTGCGTCTGCGTCTGCGTGTCTGTGTGTTCCATGAATTTGGGCTCAGCCTTCTCAGGCAGTTATTTCTTCTACTTAGGCCTTAATCTCTGCTGATAGCAGATTTTTTTCTCTCCCCAGTTGGATATCAAGCTATATTTTTATGACTCATATGTTCCTGATAATTTACCAGAGAGATTTAGGATCTTGCTACCTTCTTCCTTGTGTCTCCTTTAGCTTTGCTTCTCTGCAGTGCTAGTTAACCATCTAGCCGGTGTCAGGAGGAATATCTGGAATGCTCAGATCCACATTGACCACTGATTTGCAAGCCATGTTGCCCAGGTGGAGGAGTCTTTCTGTTCTCATCTATTTGTGAAAACTGCTCTATCTACTCACAGTAAGGAGGTCAGGTCACTGAGGAGAGCCTGAGTTTCCTGATGTAAACATGCTAAAGAATGTGAGCAAAGTTGCAACTTTTTCCTGAAGAACTGGCATACCCCCTGGGCTAGAATACTTGCTGTTATCCTGGAGAGGCAGATGTGTCAGGAGTTAAGGTTGCCTTTGAGAGACAGGGCATGGGACATATTTATAAACATTTATATTCATTATTTACTTGTGACTCAATTCTAGTGGACATCTTTTATTCTTATTTATTAAATACAGCAAGCCTACATTGGATTGCAAACTTCTGGGTCTAACAGGATCTTTTAAGACATCCAGGCTAGCCAGTTTAATTTTCTAGATGAAATATCAAAGGCCCAGAAAACACCAACATTACATAATTACCACTGACATTGTAAAAACTTTAATCACGGTGACTTCCTCTAAGCTTTCCTGAGAAATTTTGGTAGCAGAAAAAGATACTGAATCAAAGGTAGAATGTCTTTAGAAGAAAATGACCTCATTCCTAATGTTTGGTCTATGTTGGCTCAGTGAGTCAGTTCAGACCTGAGACTGGCCTAAGACTGGCTATGAGTGGGGCTCCACCAGCTCCTAGCTCTCCTCCAAAACCCTTGATGATTGATTGCTCTTTGTGGCTGACTATGATCTGTTCCTGCTTGGCATGTACTTCCAGCTGCTATTCTGGAAGCTTGGGTGGTCTGCACTGGCCAGAGCATTCTTTCACCCTGGGATTCAGAGCCACGGATGTAGGCATGTGAAGACTGCTCTCCTAGGATAGTCTTACCTATTAAAAACAAGGAAGTGCTCTTGTCCATAGGTTAAGACCAGGGCCTATTGAAGCGTTTGGTCCATGACAAATGCTGAGTACCGATAATAATATAGTGAAATGAAGCCAGCCATAGACATCTATATCAGGCAAATCAAATGATATTGTTCTAATTAAGCCTTTTTTCTCACCTGGGGCTTTAGTGTCTTGGGACATCTCTCATGGTGAGCACTAATGTATGAAGTCATTGTATGTCTTATTGGAAGGGAAAAGAAATGCGAGACTCCAGTGCCAGTGCTTTCTTCTCAAGTTAAGGGTTGGTCTCCTTATGTTGTATTTTCTGTAGCTGTACAGAGGGCATTTTGTTGTTCTTCTTGTGTAATCTTCATGTTAATTGAAAACCCATTCTGCTCTAGTTGTTCGTTATTTTGTACAGATGCTTATCTATCATTCCAATGTATCAATACACCTTCAAAACTTGTTCCCAGCCTCAACAGAAAATTCAAGAAACTCAAGAGAAGCATGTGCAGAACTTATTAGAGACAGTAGGCTTGAAACTTGCATGCGTGCTGTTGGCCTAGGGCACTACATGGGATACTTATGGAGGAGAGGAACAGAGATGTGCTCAATTACTAAGAAAACTGTTGTTGTAGTCCATGGAAATGGGGTCATGTGCTGATGTATCAGACACAACAGGAAAACCTGACTTTACTCCAGGACATTTTATCAGCTGGGCATCATCTGCTTTCTCCTGAATGTGCCCTTGCAAAGTTAGCCTCATTTCTCCCTGCAAAAGCTGACAAAGGCATGCAGTGGGTATGTGACTGCCACAATGCAAAATGCTATGTATTGGAAGCTATATCAAGAGTTGAAACACCTGTGCAAAGAGGACAGTACTGCGACATTTGGCTGTGACTATTGACATAACTGTATTGAAATATAAAGGAACCATTTTATGTCAAAAACATTTTAAGTCTTTTTTTTTCCAGTCAATCATTTGGAAAAGAAATTAAAACTTTAAATTTTAGACAACTGAAATGGCTGTAGAAATGTGAAATTTTTCTTGAGCTATTAGCATAGAGATAAATACCTGTTAAATACCCTGATTACTTGCATAGACTTAAGCTATCCCTAAACTTATACCCTTTCTCTTCCAAAGGGTTTCTTTTGTTTTATTTTTGGTTGAGGGAATAATGTTGGTTCTTGTACTCACTTGCACAGTTCTGTATTTACTTCTTCTGGTCCACTTATTGTTAAAGTGTATTGGATAATACTTCAACTGTTAAATCAATGTTCATATTTTAATGCTAACTTTTATTCTCTTACTAATAAAATTGAACATCATTAAGTGTTAAAAACAATTTTTGAACATCATTAGATGTTTTCAGGAAAATTTGCATCTAACTAGGAGACCTAAGTTCTAGAACCCCCATGACTGTCAGCAAACTGAGCAACTTTGTAACTTCAGGGTTTTTTTTTTTGCATATTGAATTAAATTATTGAGTTGACTAAATGGAGTCTTTAATAGTGACTCCACAAATGAAATCATTTTAACCATTTATAGCCTAGAATTAATAGCAATAAAGGGAAAATGACAACATTGTTTGGACGATGTATTTGTCATCTAAGAATTTTAAATGCTGATCTACCTTTTATATTTGTATTCTCTAACCCTTGCTACAACCTCTCATGGTCACAGTGTTTGATTGTTTCACTTGGTTTTAATACCACAATTAG